GGTACCCAAAACCTTGTCGAAACGTTGTACATTTGCTGTTATGTTAAACTTATATTAAAGTTTTCTTCATTACCCACTCAAGCCGTCTCCAGCCATTATTAGTCTCAAAGTGGATTCCTCGTCATCGAATACATCGGTTATGTTTGTTCTAATGAACTTGAAGGCAAAAACAGAACATAGTTTCGAAAACTGGAGTAACGGTAGAGCAACAAAAGGAATTATCTTATTATAAATTTTACTGAGATTAATATAAGCTGGACATTTTTTTTTCATAATTCTGACAGCAAAACGCACATTCATCTTTTGTTGTGAGTGAGAATCAGTTTCACTTTAGAGTTTTATTTTAAAAATTTAATGTTCTAATGCTTTTCATTTTCCATCTGGTTATGTTTTTCTTTTAATTTGTATCTGTATATTTGTTTTTTCTGACCTTTCAATTTTTACATTCGGGTTATGTTTTGGCACTGATTTTTTTGCACTGTTTTTGTTACACATTTAAAATTCATCCTTTCTGATTGAAACGTACACAACTTCTATCTCTTGGTTTATGTGACCCTTCTGTCCGGTTGTCATAGTTAATATCGTAACAAACCAGGCTCAAATCAATAAAAAAAATAAGCTAGTATCACACGAGAGGCAATAAAACAAAACTGAGAAACATGCACAAATTCAGGGTAAGAGTTCCATATGGCACCCCCACTCAATTTAAAAAAAAACATTCATCAAAGTAATATTTATGTATTAATAAATCATATTAATAGTATGATCTGATAATTTTAATACATTATTATACCACTTACTTCATTAATTAGATGTACAATCATCTTAAAAGACAGAATTACGCTGACGAAGTTGGAAGCGTTAGTTACAATAGGGGTGTCAAAAGGAAATGGGGGTGCCAAAGTAGTTTGGAACATTTTTTTTCATTTTTTTTTGGTAAATCCCAAAAAGCCATGCCCCAATTTTTCTAATACGCCCTTAAAATAAACCCTTTTCAGAATCTTTTTTTATCCAGGCAATTCTACAATTTTTGGGTGGGGGTGCCATATGGAACTCTTTCCTTTAGTTTTCTAATACTGGTTGTTTACGGTTAGAGTTAGATGATTTTATCTAAAAAAAATGTATTTACCTCAACATGATGGTAGTTTATTACTGGCTTCATCAAGTCCCATTTTTTAAATTATTGATGATGTGATTTTATTTCTACTAATATCCCATATAAACTTGCACAATTTATGTGAACTAATAGAAAGTAATGTGTTAAGTTTGCTTATACAGAGTTTATAGTAAATATTTTGTTAACTTGCTATACAATCACACACTACCATGTAGAAGCTTTTAAAACAATATATATAACATATAGGCAAAAGGTTTGTGTTCAGATTTAGAGCTGTGTGAATAATTGACAGAATCAATTAATTATGATTATCAATTAATTTCTTGAAAATAATTGATTCATCAAAATTGCAATTAAATAATTTAATGTCACAAAACTAATCAACAAGTTGAAATTAGTGTTTCCAATTACTACTGTTTTAGATTATTTCAAGTATCCAGCTACTCAAAATATTGCCATTGTGATTTCATATTATTTTTTATTAATTCAGGGTTGTTCAGTTTAATCGATTAGTGTCATGACTCATGAAAATTCTCTAATTGAAATTGATGTTTGCAGTTGTTACTGTGTTCAGTTATTCCCACAATCCAAGTCTCATGTGAGAATAATCAATTAGCAAATTCCACTGATCATCCAGCTGTATTCATATTATAAATTATTCAACATATGGTGTTATTCATGATAATTGTATTAATTTCTTTATAGTTTTACAAGTTTTAATCCACTTTTATTTTCTGTTTTGAAATGTAGGTCATGAGAGGGGGTGATGGACAGGCAGGATTTGCCGTTAGACATCCTAATGGAATGTTTGTTTTACCATACCAGTGGCGCCCTCATGCAGAGTATGAAGAAGCTTCTGTACCAAATGGTGGTATTAATCTAATCATATCTTGTTTCTTTTATTTCCTGATTTTATATATAGTTATGATATCTTTCAAAGTGCATGTATGTTTATGTAAAATCTTTTTAAGTATCTTTGTTTTTAGACATGTGTTGAAGGTATTCTATACCTGTGCATATGAAGATGATTGTAACAGTAGTAAGGATGATGAAAAACTTAACAGGTTTAAGTGGGTTAAGTTAGATTTATTTGGAATAATATGAATAATATTTTGGTAGGATGTACAGCTATCATTGAGTACAGGATTAACTACAGAATGAAAATCCAGGACATCAACTACCTTATAAGCATAAATACCCATAAATCAATTTGATTTAAATTAATGTCTGTGTTTTTATTGATGCTTGAGTTTATGTTATTGAAACTAACAATGCTCCTTTAATTTTTCTTTTACTGACATTGTTTTTTTTTTGCAGAGAATTTTTGAAATATTTTTAGTTCAATTTGTGCCCTGTTGAAGAACATAGTTGAAAAATATGGGAGTTTTTTTGTGTTCTTGTATGCATGTATGTTAATTTCTTGCCCAGTTTCACTAATGTATGAATGATTGCATTCTTTACAAATTTATTGATATATTGAACCATTTCTGTATTGGTTCTCATAAATATTTTGTTTCTATGGTGTTTGGACAAAGTTAAGTTCTACCTAAATGTTATATTTTTGAACAGTTTTATTTCCACAGCTTTATAATATGTCCATAAGGAAGTATACAAGTTAATTTATTGTTGATAATTTTTTGTATTTTAAAACTTTTCAGTAATTTTCTTTTTGGTTAAATTTAAGGTGTTTTATTATTACTTTTTGAGAAGTTAGCATTCTTTTTTGAATGACTTTGAAATATATTGAATTTTATCTTCAAGGCTTTGTAAATCATGTTTTCTAAAGTTACGTTGTATGGTCAAGGTAGGAAGTTGATGTTAATTTAACCCATTCACTGTGGCTGGTACATATATGTGAGGAGTTGGATTGTAATTTTTGTGGTAATGTTGTCCATAAACATTCTGCTATGTGTTGCCATACAGTAAGTCAATTATTCTTGTCTTATATACATTAGTTTCCCTCGAGATGTCAGAGGGGGCTTATATGATAACATCTTGCTGCCATGGTAGCAAGCACCATTAAAACTGGGGAAAACTCAGATTATTTTATGGATTTAATAGATAGCATTGATTTTGATAAGTTGATGCAGTAAACAGAAAAAAAACATGTATGTTCCAACTGCAGTGAATGGGTTAATATTTGGATGTATGGAATTTGTGTTTGAAAAACTATTTAATATGAAAACCACAGAAAACATAATTTGTGAATCTAAATCGGTAACTAGAAAAATGTAATGCACAGTATGGCAACTTTTTTTAATGTTTATTATGATTGGCTTACACAAACCTGGAGAAAGTGGGGTACTCAGTCTATCAATTTGTGTGTAAATGTTGTTCTCAAAGTAAAAGCAAATATAGCTTGTTTCGTATTGTTTGTTAAGATTCTTATCAACTTTTTTATTTTTGTTTAAAATGTTTTCCGTTAGGTTATTTTACTGTTTATTTTTTACACAAGTGGGATCCCTTTCTAAAAGTAGTAGAGGTGTTTTTGAACCATGTGTTTTTTTAACGTACTATAACCAGTGTGCAAAACAAAACTGCAGCATCAAATAAAAATTACCTTTGATAAACACTTGTCAGATCAAACTAAGATGTGTAAATATTAAATATAAATGAACATTAGATTTTTTAAACCAATGAAGTAATGACTATTATATCTGCAGGAGTAAGTGTTAAAAATATTGTGGGTAATAAAGGTAACTATAAACTTCTTATTTCTGCCATTTTTTATTACTCTTCACGTCAAGTTCTGTGCTTTATTACAAGGAAGAAACACATTTCTGCCACTGTTATTACTCTTCACGTCAAGTTATGTGCTTTGTTACAAAGAAAAAACAAATCATCAGTGTTTTATGTTGGTTTTTGATATTTTCGCTATGCAGAAGGGCTCTTTAATTTACTTAAAAGAACATCAGTTTATTACATCTGTTAGAAGAGTTGCATATCACTATTTTTCCATACAAATGCATGTAATTTAATTTCCAGTTAAGCATGCTCAGAAGATCTGTAGAAAACTAAGAAACTTCTTTCTGATTTTGAAATATGTCAGCTTATTTCTCAGGTTTGCATAATCTGTTCTTCAGTATAGACAAAACACAATTTAAGAGCATACATATGAAGTAAAGTCATCTGTGTTATTTTAATTGCCATTAATATAAACATACATTGGTTTTACAATGTAAATACTCTTAGAAGAAAAACTTGTTCTACTGATTTAAAACTTAACATTTTCTCCCCAAATTTAGGTCCTGGTGTAATGAAAGTTTAACAATCAGTTTACAAAGAAAACAGTATATAATATTAAAGACTCATAACATGGATGTAAATAGTACTTGATAAATAAATGGGATACCAAGTTATTCAACTCTGTGTTTACACAAGGTTTGGGATCTAGTACTGGAACCATCAAGTTACTACATAGTTCCGAAATACACTAAAGATAACTTTTATTCAAAATTTTGTATGGTTGTATTTAGTATAAGTCAAAAAACACATATAAATTTTTTTTACAGTATTGTACTTGACAAATTACACAACAGCTTCATAATTATTTTGGTTGTTTTTATAGACCAATGCCTTGGTCTCATTATGTACATGTATTGTAAATATATGGAGAATTAAATAATGATATAGAGTGTTGACATAGAAGTCCTGCCCACAATCGATTGCCATATTGACTTGTTTCAACAAGTAAGGCTAGGTTATGCAACTTTTCATTTTGTAATGTCAAAAAAAAAAATGTCCAAAAATGACAAATGTTTTTTTGCTTGAACTGCAATTCAGATTTTTGTAATTACTTTCCAGGATATTATCAGTTATGTATTGACAACTCCTTGTCACGATTTGCTTCGAAGCTGGTAAGTTTGTATGTGAACTCCTTCAAGAGAGATGAGTGGGAGACATACGTGAAAGAACTTGAGAGTTTGGACATCACTGTTACAAATTTCACAGTAAGTGTAGAGAAATGGAATAGTAATTTCTTGTTGTTTTTTTCATAGCACTGTGAAAGATTTTGAGGTGTAACAACCGTACATAATATACAAGTCTAAAATAAGGCTTTGAAAAAAGACTTTGTCTTTTTTAAATTGGTCTGTTCGCAGACTATCATTATGTTCACATACCTTGCTATCTAGAGCAGTATTTTACACAACATGAAAAAGCATAATTGAACAGAAGAGGTAATCTTTCACATTACTTTCTTGCTGATCACATGAGTTTCACAGTTGGTTTGTCAAAGGTCAGCAGATGTTTTAATAATGAGTAGATATAAAAGAATGAATTCTGAAATTACCTGTTTAATTGTGCACACCTTCTGAGATGGTTAATTGAGCACTTATTAACAGCACTGAACATCGTTGTATGGGACTAATATTTCTCTCCTACTCCTTTATTTTCCAGATGTTATCATAATATTTCCCTTGACTTCATTTATGATATTATATATCAGCCACCACTTATTTTGCTGTTGGTTTTTTTCTTTGTAAAGCTTTTGTATTTTCGTGTGAAAATTTTTGCTTCATTACAGGATAAGACCATTTTGTTAGTTTATTTATAACAAATGTATAAATCTTCTCTATAGGCTATGTGCTATCAACTAGAGCTGGATAATTTAATCAATATAACTGATTATCTATAAGCAGCAGTTGATTGATTATGTTGATTAGTGTCACCTATACTAATTGATTAATCAAAATTATTGTTTTCAATTATTACCGTTTTTCATTATTCCAACGATTATATCAATTGTTACGAACATTATCAACTAATTGAAATTATTGTTTCTGATTATTGCAACAGTCAATTAATTTGAAATTATGATTAAATTCGATTATCAGATGAAAAAAAATCAACTAATTGAAATATGAATATTGTGTTTGTTTATTGTTAAGCACAAAGCTACATAATAGGCTATCTGTGCTCTGCACCATAAGAACTTTTTTATTTCTTTCAAATTTGTTCAGTTTTGGTAATTTTTTGGGGGGAGGTGGGGGAATTCCCATTGCCACCATACTTGCTCACCCTGTTTTTGTTATGAGAAATTTACTATCTAATACTGTCACTAATTATGAACTGCTAACTAGGAGAAAGGCAATTGTCTGGCAGCACCTACTACTGATTAAAAAAAACAAAATCTAGTCAATTATTAATTAGCAAATACCACTAATTGCCCAGCTCTACTATCAACACGATGTAAGAGATACAATATTTATGGTTTACTTTATTAGTTGTTAACCTATGTCTTGGACAGTTGAATTGCATCTGATCTGTATTGTGTTTACATATATATGTTAAAATTTTAGAGTTTGTGTTTCTGAATTAAGCTTACCTTCCGAGTATGAATCACCAGTTATTTATCTGTTGTTTTTTGTAACATATCATTTGAATTCTTATTATATTGAAATAATATGGTTTGTTGAGCAAGAGTAAACTACTATTGTTTGAAGCTGGTAACAAGAGCTTGCCGAGGTCTCATTAAGGGTTACATTCTAGGCAGTTTACACTAAAGAAGCCTTGAAACACAGTATCTGTTGCAGCTGATCAGAGATCTCCATTTGGCCATACTTTATCAGTCTTAGTATTCTGTATCTCTGCTGTCCACTTAGATTGGTAGGTGCTGTATGTGCTCATCATCAGAAAAGATACCATTAGTTACCATCAATATACTCTATGCTCTTCAAGTTAGGGTCAAACATTTTTATTGGAGTAAAGTTTTTTTCACCAGACAACTTCTGTTCTCATCTTATCCAAGTTTGATATGGAGATAAATACTATATGTATTTTCAAAGTATGCTTTATTTGAATAATTGACTTTCCAGCAATTAAAACTGTCATTTCCAAAACAAAATAACTAAAAATTAAGAGCCATTAAAAATTAATTAACATAATTAGAAAGTGGAATCTTGCTTTATTCTCATTTTTTTTGTTGTTGAACATTTTCTAAAGACTAAGTTTTCAGGGTCTGTATTCCAGATTTTATTATATTTTTACAATCCAAATCAGAGTTGAAATTAAGCTAAAAGCTGTTATTTAAAACGTGCATCTTCCTTTCCAAGAACATCTATTGGTTTTGCTCTTTGCATCGGAATACTGGCCACAACCTGTATTCTTGATAACACAGAACCAAGATCCTTAAAAGTTTTAGATTAATGCTTGCTGTTTATAACCCGAGAGTATTTTATGCAACTCGTGTTATGTTGATTGCATTTACAAGGTTTAAAAATCAGTATTTCAAACTAGATTTGTGTTTACAAATTTTTGTAACGACTGTTGATCTTTTCCTCGTCTTATTAAGGTTGGATACAATTTTTTTTTGTAGGGGACACTAAGGATTGTGGATGAACGGGTTGGTGAAATGCTGAAATTCCAAGACCATTCCAGACGACAGATGTCCCGAGATTGGTATTTAGTAGATGGAAATAATCGGTATGTCCAGTACTGGTCACTTGCTCAGTGTTTGATCATTGCTGCAGCATCAGCCATACAAGTTTTCTTTGTTAGAAAGCTATTCGATGTGAAAAATGTTACACCTACTGCAAAGCCAAGGGCATAGCCGTACAGTTTAGATCAATAAAAAAAAAGAAAAGAAAAAGGTTTTCCATTTTAAAACTAATATCAGTTTCTCATTACAAATACTTGTAACTTAGTTAAGAAGTTTGTCCTACTACTACTTATTAATCAAGTAAGTATATTTGGCAGACAGTTACATTATTAAGTTAAATCTTGAGTAGTGATGATAAAAGGTAAATTTTCCATAAACTTTTAACTTAAAATATGTTAGTCAGATGTATACATTTTTTTCATTTTAAGGCATGACATTTGTTACTTTAAGAATCTGTTAGAAAAAATAATGTGCCTTTATAGCAAGACAGTGACTATTTAGTATTGTTCTATATATATCATTTGTCTTTTTTGTCACAACTTTTATTTATGGTGGGGCTTTGTTATTTCTGAATTCTATTTGTATATTTTTTCTTATAAAGTTTTTGGAAAAATGAAAGAAATAAAGACATTCTGTTCAAAGTCTTCAGGAGCTGCGTTATATATATATATATATATTCATTCTTTTTTGTAGCAAGCTAAAACATGAAGGTCATGATATTTAAATAACTTGTAGGTAGATAAACCTGAACCAAATTTTACAAATTAAAGTTTTTGGTTTTAACAACAAGAATACAAGGTACAAGTAAAGAAAAACTTTTCAACGAAAGGAAGGCTAATGTCAATTCTTCAAAAACAATGCAAACAAGATAATAGGGATGGCTTTTGCATCATCCCTACAGTTTGGTAGAATGTTCAAAGATGAAGGATACATTAAATTGTGATTGAATGTATATATATATTGCTACATGTTAATTCTTGCCTGTGCTATTATTTAGGGATGATGCAAATGCCATCCCTACTATCTTGTTTGCATTGTTTCTGAAAAATTGATATTAGCCATCCCTACGTTTACTTCCTTTTTTGAAGATTTTTAATGGATATAGGAAGGTTATATTTATAACCAAGTTCTAAATACAATGATGTTCCACTTATTTTTTATCTATTATTGGCTGGTAATTCATGTTTCACCCTACACATAAACTTTTTAATAGAACACCAAATTTCTGTAAGAAAGGTAACTTCAAGGGGTAATGATAACATTGTTTACACTAGAGTTATGATTTTTTTTATTACTACTGGTTATTAATAATACTTATAAAAGCTGATAATCTGTTTTAAACTACATCACCTCAGTGAAATTGGTTGACACCATTGTTTTGTTTTTGGAGTTATCAAGTAATATAAAAAGAGGTAGAAAAAAGAACAAGAAATTCAAACATTTTTCTGTGATATTCACAGACATTCCTAGAAGTTGTGAGTCAGTCATTAGATAGATATAGTTATAAAAGTAAACACTGTAGAGTATTGTAATGTTATGATGACCTATCGAGGAGACATTTAAATAACCATTTTCATGAACAATCCGAGTCATCTCTACCTAGGCAGTGCTATCGCCTGCCTGATATTTCAAGACTCGTGAATTAGCATTATAATAAAAGTTATTCAGTTGTCACATACTTGTATGTGTATAAATATTAGATTATCTTTCTAAATATAAATACTGGAGGTATCCCACACATTTTAATAATTAAAAACAGTTAAAATGGGATAGAAAACAAATCCTGCCACCGTTAAAGTGATATCATCAAGTACTATATACAGCTGGACACATTAAATAGTGTGCCACGAACATAACCTTGACATTAGCATAAATATAAACCCCCTCCTTTTATTTTACATTTATTAACATTAGGTTCCTGGCAAATAATGTTAATTTAAAATTTGCTGGTCACTAACTGAATAATATTAAAATGTAGTAACTGGACATTTAGTAGAAAAGCTTAATGAAGCATTCAATTATAATACTAGAGATAAAACATAAGCTTATTTGTGTTCCTAAACAAAGCAGTTTAACTATGAATGAATACCAGGCTTGTTGGCAATTTTAAAATTCAACATTATTAAATTATTATGCTATATGTTTAATAGAAAATGTGCATTTTATTTACCCACTTAAACAATCATGTAATGTTGAGAACATTTTTATACAGACAAAAAAAATGACTGATACAGGTCTTTGAAGATGACTGGAATCACTCGTACGATTCTGCTCGTCTATACCAAAAACGTGCTCTAAAATCGTCACTACATGTCAAAAAGGCCGGTCCAGTAGGTGAATGAACAATGTAACGCACTACATTGTTGTGACCTTCAAAGATACGTAAATAGGAATTTATGAATATTATGATTCAAAACATTTTGAACATTTAATTTAGATAAAAATTATTCAGTGTTTGAACACTAATAACTTCATTACTAATTGAAAACTTTAAGAAAAATAAACACACATTGGTGAAGTCACTTTTTAGACAACTCGACTTAATGTTTTTAAGGTCTTCACATAAAGAGAACTCAAACAGATTGACAGTCTTAGGACTTTCTTTTTATTTGAAATTATACTTTTATTATTAAGAAATAAAAAAGAACATGGACTGTGGTTTAACACAAAGTCTTCAAACATTATTACATGTTTTTTCGTGATTTTAGTGTTTAACGTATGAAAATAAATGTGGACAGAAAACATTGCAAGTTATCCTGCTGATGAAACGTTCCAATATTTATAAGTAAGAACAGTATATTTGATTAGCTATACTCATTACTGGGTTGATTTTATATAGGTAGCTTACTCTGATCAGAAGTTAATATTAGATGCAGACTTAACTCTCTTAAACTTGTAATTTTCTGTATTTTCTTCTGGAATTATTTTTATGATGGCCTAATAATTATCACCATGTCTTATAAAACTTAAATATTCTTAATTTTGTGGATAATAACATGGTTTGAATTAAATTCGGTGATGAGGAACCCACTTTGAGACTAATAATGGCTGGAGACGGCTTGAATGGGTAATGAAGAAAAACTTTAACATAACAGCAAATGTACAACGTTTCGACAAGGTATTGTCATCATCAGGTACAAGTAGTTTACACTGACACAGATATATATATATACAGTATTGAACAAAGAAGTCACATGACCGGAACTGTTGCGAAACTTAGAAAAGGTATCTAGGCACCCCGCGGTGTTGGTTTAGAGTAGGGTTCTTTTGTTCAATTAAGATGGATTCTTTTGA